GATTGATTGATTGATTGATTGATTGATTGATTGATTGATTGATTGATTGATTGATTGATTGATTGATTGATTGGCTGACTGGCTGACTGGCTGGGTTGTTAACAATACTCAAAAATTGTACCACCAATACTTATACCGACAACCAGCTTTTTATAGCGGTATTTTAAATTATCGGCGATGTCGAGTTTGACACTCGGTGGTCTCGTAAGTCTTACCGATAACGAGGCCAACACTGGAAGACTTCGATGTTAACAACCCTGACGAATGATTTTATTTATTTATCTGTTAAAATCTAATTTAATTTATTATTTTATTATTGTTTAATTATTATCATTGGTCTATCAACTGGTTACATCAGTCAGCTAATCATTCATTCAATCATTCATTCATTCATTCAATCATTCATTCATTCAATCATTCGATCATTCATTCAATCATTCATTCAATCATTCGATCAATCAACCAGCAAATCAGTCAATCAATTATTCAACCAACCAATCAATCAATTAATCAATCAACCAACCAAACATTCAATCAATCATTCAACCAGCCCATCATTCAATTAATCAATCAACCAACGAATCAATCAATCATTCATCCAACCAACTAATCATTTAGTTAATTAGTCAAATAACGAATCATTCAATCAATCTTCCAACCAACCAATCATTCAATCAATCAGCCAATCACTCAATCAATCAATACAAAATTCGAAACAGTGAGAAAGAAATCCTAAAGGATGAAGTTCGATCGATCACTCAATCGAAAGATAGACTGAAAGTGAAAGTGAATGAATTGGAGGAGGAAGTAAAGAGATTGAGAGAAGAGCTGGAGAAAGAAATGAACAAGGATGCCAATACATTTATCGGAGAAGATGTAAACAAATATTTTTTATAATTAATATTATTGTTATTGTCGCCGTCGCTGTTGTTGATGTTGTGGTTTTTTGCTGTTGTCGTCGTCGTCGTTGTTGTTGTTGTTGTTGATGCTGTTAATGTTGTTGTTGTTGTTGTTGATGCTGTTAATGTTGTTGTTGTTGTCGTCGTCGTTGTGGTTGTTGTTTTTTTTTTTCTCATACAACTAACCAATTAATCAGTCAATTAGGGCTATGACGATAATGATGATAATAAAGCGATGAAAATGATGATGACAATATAATAATAATAATAATAACAATAATAACGACGACTGACCATAATGGTGTGACGACTGACCACGATGATGACGATTGACCATGACCAGGAGTCAGTTGCACCCGGTCTGAGGAAGAGGTTCACAAGATTGGAGATGGCTCGAGTGCTTATGGAGAGGAACCAATATAAGGAGAAGTTGATGGAGCTGCAGGAAGCTGTCAGGTTGCTGCTACTGCTGCTGATGATGATGATAATGATAATGATGGTGATAATGAATGACAATGATGATGGTGGTGGTGATGATGATGGGGTTGAGGATGATGATATTAATGTGGGAAGAATGTAATATCGGGTTTATTCTTTTGATGATTACAGACGGTTTTTACAATTACAAAGCTGAAAATATTATGGTTATAATAAGGCTAATAATGATGATTATGATGACGATGATGACGATGACGACGACGACGATGATGATAACAGATGGGCCGAAATGGTGAGGGCCACCAAGGACCACCCGGAATTCGGTGGTGAGAAGAAGTCCAGGTCGTCCCTTTGGAACTTGTGGGTGGAGTTTGTTTGTTTAGCCATTTATCGCTATGTTTTTGGAGAACGGACAGATTCAATCGCATTGATACTTTTAAATATTTTATTTATTTATTGGTCTATTTGTTTGATTTATTTATTGGTTTATTAATTTATTTGTTTTATTTATTTTTTTATTTTGTAAACCAAATACTCCGTCAAACTCAGTAATTATGATGACAACGACATGCAGGGTACGAAACGGTGAGAATGAAAATTATGAATCTGGAGAGTAGTAGCTACATTAGGTAGGTGTGAAGTAGAGTAATGTAAATTTGGAACTTAAAAAAGGATCGGTGAAAGTGTTAGGTGGAAGTGGAAGTTAGGTGGAATACAGTTTTCATCATGAGACATTTATTCATATAGACTATTTATCATTAACAATCTGTATTTTCATCCAACTGTATTTTATTTTACTTCATTTATTTATTTTATTATTTTTAAAATACAATGGAAGCTTTTCATTTGCTGGAGGCATAGGAACGTCAGTTCGCGCCTCTCTATTTTCTGTTTATGTTGTGTCATGTTATGTTATGTGTGTACGTGTAATGTGTTTCTGTGATGTTAGTTTTTTTTTGTAAGAGTCATGTTGTGTAATGGAAGGATGATATTATCATATATGGACACCTTCAAGTTTGAAGTTACACTGCAGTGTGGGATTAATTTTTTTTATTATCATATTTTCTTCTCAGTTTCAGCAACTTGTTCAGTACCAGCGTCAACAACAACAACAACAGCAACAGTACTAACAACAACACCAATAGCAGCAGATCCAACAACAACAAATCACACAACAGTAGCAACAACAGCAGCAGTTTTGGACTTAACTCTTCGTCTCTCATAAACGGCTTGGATGATGAGGAGAGGGTGGGGCTTAATTCCTTGATGGACAGGAAGAGGATCGTCATTGGTCGAAATGATGAGTCATCGTTAGTTCTCATTGGCTGTTATTGGTTGATTGATTGGTTGATTGATTGATCGATCGATTGATTGATTGATTGTTTAATTGGTTTATTAATTGGTTGATTAATTGATTGATTACTTGATTAATTGATTGATTGATTGATTGATTGATTGAAAAAGAGAAGTGGACAAACCGACAAAATCTCTCGCAAAGAACTTATCCAACAAATTCCTCCCATTGAAAGAGGAACCCAGGCTGGAGGCTTACGGCTGGTCACTGCCTCCGAAGTTTCAACTAACCCAGTTACAGATACCTACTGACCAATCAGAACTAATTGGGTCAGCAACGGGTGATCAGAAGTTCAACGTACCGATGCCTGTCCTCTGTAAGCCGCTGATTGACGAGGAGATCCCCTCAAAAGTTTGTATTTTTTGTATCACATTTCTTTTATCACATTTTTTGTATCATAGTTTTTGTATTTTCGGTATTATTTATGTTTACTTTGTTGTATGGTTTCTATTTTAATTATTATTTGTTTTTGTTAGTGCAAATTTCGACTTTCGGCATTGTTGTCGTTTATTTGTTGTCGTTGTGGTGGTGGTTGTTGTTGTTGTGGTGGTTGTTGTTGTTGTGGTTGTTGTGGTTGTTGTTGTTGTGGCTGTGGTGGTTGTTGTTGTTGCTGTTGTTGTTGTTATATTTACGTTTCGATACTTCATGGCCAACGTAGTAACACTATCAGTATGATATGAGTGGATGCACTCATTTGACGAACTCATTCGAGATCACATCACAGCCGTCTTCATCATTATCATTTTGATCGCATCTGCGGCTACTGTCACAGTCTTCTCCTAACGGACGACCATCATCATCATTTCTTCTTCATCATCATCATCATCATCATGACGGCCTCTATCCTCTTCTTCTTCATCATCATCATCATCATCATCAGATCCAATGTGCAGCTGCAGTGACATGGAGTGGAGGGTTGACAAAAAATGGTGGCTACATGGTTGGGGCAAGCATCTTTTACAACAATAATAATAATAATGGTGGTGGTGCTGGCGGTAGTGGTAATTTTCCCAAAAATGGTCGAAGTTTCTTCATGAGGCACGAGTCTGTCCCTGATAAGAAAGTTTCTGGGGGTGGACATGGTGAAGAGGGGGCTGGTGAGGGTGCAGCTGGTGCTGGGGCGGATGTTGGCGAAGTTGGAAAGCTCAATAGAGAATTATTGGTTGGTTTTATTCATTCATTCATTCGTTTAATCAAGCAATCATTCAGTTAATCAATCGATTATTTTTTCATTCGTTTGTTTGCTGATTCAATTCCTTGTAATTATACATATGTGCTAATTAATACATAAACGTTTCAACATATTTTATTTTAGTTGAATTATAAAATTATAATTTTGAAAGTTAGTAACAGTTTAAGAAAAAATACTACAAACAAACAAACAATCAAACGAACGAACGAACGAACAACTTCATGACATAACGTAGGAAGGAAGTGCGACGATCAGCCAATCACAGAGCAGCTTCTCCATCGTGAACGAGGCTGGTTCCACCAACTCCACCAACCCCACCCACGTTTGGGTCTGCGTCATCGACCAAACCGGAAGTCACGTGGTCGTCATGGACGCCGGAAATGGTGGAGACGTCCTGGAGAAGTTTAACGTCTGCACGGCCAATGTCCTGTGCATCGCCAGTATTCCAGGTGAGGAAAGTTATGATGATGATGATGATGTGATGGTGATGTTAAGAATATGCTGGTGATGATGATGTTGTGAGCTATCATCATCATCATCGCTACCATCATCATCATCATGGCTATCATCATCATCATCATCATCATTGTGATGAAAAGGAGCCACGGAGGATGACTACAAACACGAGGGTGATAATGGAGAAGATGAAGAGAAGGCCGACACTGTCGCTGCTGCTGCTGCTGATAAAATTAAAACCGAAGGAACATCCCCGGTTATGACTTCATCACCGTTATCGTCACCGCCATGGTCATCATTAGCGTCATCGTCATCATCTGTTCTTCCTACTCATGTTAAACTTGTTGAAGTGAAAAATCATGAAGGTCGGTGTTGATGTGAGGATGATGATGATGTTGGTGACGCGCGTAATGATGTCGTTGATGATGATAACGATGAGAATAGTGATCATTATGATATGATAGAATCAATAGAACATTGATGATTAAAATAATAATGTTTCCTAATTAATTAATTCATTCATTCATTTGTTTTTATTCACCATTTGATTATTTAATGAATGCAGAGAAGAACTTGCTCACCAAACTGCACCGTAGCCTCTCAAGGTCAAACTCAAGGTCAAGTCCCAAACCTGACAGTGCCGCTTCCGAACTCGAGAGGACTTACGCAGTGCTACCCACTGTGTGGTTGGGTAGCATTTCTGGGAGGTTGGTTGGTCGGTTGGTTGGTTGGTTGGTTGGTCGGTCGGCTGGTTGGTTGGTTGGTTGATTGGTTGGTTGGTTGGTCGGTCGGTTGGCTGGTTGGTTGGTTGGTTGATTGGTTGATTGGTTGGTAGGTTGGCTGGTCAGTTTGTTTTGTTAGCTAGTTGTTTGATTGGTCAGTTGGTTGGTCGGCTGTTGGTTGAAAAATGTGCTGGTTCTTATTTTTTGCTCAGTTGGTTGGTCAAATGAATGGTTGCTGGTAGAATTCGTTTGATGGTGAATTACTCTCACTTGTTCAACACTCCATCCAGTTAATCTCCTACTTTATGCTCCTACTTCATTCAATCGATCTACCGTACGGACAAACATACAAACAAACACACGTACGCTAGCCACACCTACACGTACATGTACCGTCGTAGACACACCATACACAGACACGCACACACACACACAACACACACTCGCACATACACATGCGTGCTCACACACACACACACAAACACACACACTCGCACATACACATACGTGCTCACACACACACACAAACACACACACACTCGCACATACACATACGTGCTCACACACACACACACATCTCTGCAGTTTGTACATATTCTCTGCCGTGCCTTATAGTAGGAAACGTCTTCATGTTTTGAAACTCGAGGACTCCATATTGGCCATCTGGTGAGGAAATTTATTAACTCCTAGCTGTTTGTTTATTTTTTAACTTGAATGTCATCCGATTAAAAACGTGAACTCGCACAGAGTTGTACAGTGGTCCCCAACGGATTATAATGTTTACTTTATTTCATCGCTTAGTCTCCTAGATCTAATGTACCAAATGAATAAATTTTTTTATTATTTTTTTACACTTTCATGATTTTTTTTCTCTTTTTCTCTTAGTGTTCACCCATTCACTCACTCATTCATTCTTTCATTCATTATTTCATTCATTCACTCATTCTTTCATTATGTTATTTTTTCATCTTCTTCTTCCTCTTTGCATCGCCCAGTCACATGAGAGGGAAAGTTTTTCTGGCATTGGCGAACGGATGCCTGGCATGTTTCACTAGGAAGTTCAGTTAGTGACGAATTTATGTTGCTTTGTTGCTTTGTTGCTTTGCTCCTTCATTAATTTATTTGTCAAAGTTTAAACATTTAGTCTTCATTCATTGTTAAATTAACTCGATATTCGCATGTGCTGCTTAATTTAAAAATTTAATTGATGTAAATTGATGATTTCATTTTTTTTAACTTAACTACCAACCATCATCCAACCAACCAACCAACCAATGACAGACGGTCAATGGGATACGTCCAATTACCACACAATCCGCATCACGGAACCAACCAATGCCGTGAGAGCAGCTGTCGTGGTAGCCAATAAGATACTCTGGTGCTCCGTGGCCAACGTTATCTACGTTGTCAACACGCAGACGTACTCCATTGAGGTGATTGGCGATGACATTTTGTTGGAACACTTGAAAAATTATCTTTTCATTGTATATATTGTTGATATTTTCAGCTTATTTTTTTTCGATACGGATTATTTTCACGACAGAAAAACTTTCAAGCCCACCCGCGTCGAGAAAGTCACGTGCGCAAGATGGTTTGGGTGGGTGAGGGCGTGTGGGTGGTCCTGCGCCACGATGCCACCCTGCGCCTCTTCCACGCCTACACACACGAACATCTACAAGACGTTGATATTGAGCCCTGCGTCACCAAACTATTGGGTTTGTGTGCCTGTGTATGTGTGTGTATGTATGTGTGTGTGTGTTTGTGTGTGTGTGTGTGTGTGTGTCTTTGTTCGGGTTAATTTTTACTTCATGTTGTTAGTCCGGGTTCGTTTATCTAGTTCATTCATTTCGCAACCGTCGTCTGAATTTCTGGTGATGGATCAATTGTACGAATGGAAGCATTTTAAAATTTGAAAGAGCTCTCGTGTAACACGTGAATGATTGCATGCCAATTTTTAAAACGAATTTAATTTACGAATGAATTGTTTCACATAAGATATTTTTAATGAATAAATAATTGAAGCTACTCAATTACTATTGGTCAGGCTCATCGAAGCTCGGCTTCTCATTGGTCCAAATTAGCTGCCTTATGGTGACCTGCAACAAATTGTGGGTGGGTACCGGCAATGGAGTTGTCCTCTGTCTGCCAATCTCGGAAGGTCAGTTGGTTCATTGGTTGGTTAATTGATTGATTAGTTTGTTGCTTGGTTAGCCTATTTGCTGATTGGTTGGTTGGTTGTTGCTACGTCATGTTAATTAGTTTCGCGTTCATCATTATTTCACGACATTCCTTCACACACAGGATATCATCCTCATTATTGCAATAATTTCATCCTTTCTTCAGATATTTCTTCAGCAGCGTCGACATCATCAGCCTCCAACATACCCCCCAACAAGTCACCTACTTCGACAAATTTCCCCGGGGCAATAAAACCCCCCGGTGTCATGGTGAGGGTGTACGGGGGCGTCAAAAATGATGACGTATACCCCGGAAGTTTCGTACCCTACTGCTCCGTCTCGCAAGTGCAGCTCAGTTTCCACGGCCACAAAGAAGCGGTGAAGTTCCTTGTGGCTCTACCAGGTGATGATGATGACGATGTTAAGTATGGTTACGATGAGGAAGATGATGATGGTGTGTGAGGAGGACAGTGATGAGGAAAATTTTTTACTAATTATCATAATGTCAAATTGCTGATAACTTTAAAAATAATCACACGTTCATTCATTCATTCGCATTCATTCATTCATTTATTCGTTCATCAACAGGAAACGACAAAACCCCAAAGCAATCTCAAAACAAGAACTCCCAGATCTTCAGAAAGTTCAGCTCTCCCCTCCCGACATCATCATCTCTCTCACTACCTCCTCTCACGGCCTCACCATCCCCGATACCATTATCTTCATCTCCATTGGCTCAACAACAAACGTCATCATCATCATCGCCATCGTCGTCGTCGTCATCATCACTGTCGTCGACATCGGGAGCGACGGTGGTCGCGCCAAAGACGATGTGGGTGGTCTGTGGCGGGGATGGGTATGTGGATTTTCGCAGAGGTAGGTTCGATTCCTGGTGTGGTGTGGTGTGGTGTGGTGGTAATGTTAATGACTATTAGGATGATGATGGGATTGTATAGAATGGTGATGATGGTATCTGTGGGGACGATAAAAAAAATTATGGGGGAAATTTTCTTAGGAATGTGGTTTTTAGGGGAAATTTTCTTAGGTTTGATGTTTAATCGCGCTGCCATTGCGAACTTCACTCTCATCATCATCATCACCATTATCACCATCACAGCTATCATCTTTACCATTATCATGATACAGTCATGATATATCACCGCAATCACCACAACCCAACCAACTACTATCTACCAGATGATGAAACATCAAAAGCTGACAGCAAAAAGAAGACTTCGAGCTTTTTCGGGTCAAAGGTCGACAAGAGTCACGTGATCGTCTGGCAGGTATCTGGTCCCTGATGATGATGAGAAGGAGGAGGAAGAGGAAAAAGATGAAGTACCCGTCTGGAAAGTGAGAGATATTATTTCGGAGAGTAAAAAGAGAGATAAGGATGGAGGGGAGAAGTAGATGGAAAGAGATTCGTCCAATGGTATTTACTGACTGCTTTGAAGTAAACGTTCATTTCGATTGACTGTTTTTGCTTGAATAATCTTTCTTTCTTCCTTTCTTTCTTAACGTTTAGACACATTTTACAAAGAAAAAAATATGGAAAACCCTTTTATAAAAAGTGATATTTAGTTGAAAATTCAATTTAAAAAAAGCGAACGTTTTCGTGGTTATAACGTTTTTAATCATTTATTTGTTAGCGGTTGTTTGGCTGGCTGGAAAGAATTTTTTAAAATTAATAATACAATTAATTAATTAAAAGTTCTTGTTCATACTCGCCGATCATGTTTACTGACTCTGTTTCATATACTTGTATAGTGGACTAGTAACTAGTATTATTTGAGATTTATTTTTTAATAAAAAAGTTATCATTAATATTGTTATTAACATTATTTTCACTATGTTTATCATT